ACATCAACCATATCATGCTTAACATCGGACACATCGTTACAATTAATAGACAAGTCACCATGACTTACTTTCCTGTTTGCATCCAAAACACTCTGTCCCTTCTTTGACCCAGGCATTGTTGAACTTGACCCAATTCCAAAAAAGTTCCAGATATTGCTTGTTCAAAGAGGACTTGACCGGCACCAGGAAAAATGAACGCCGACTATCCAAACTTTCACCAACTGTTTGAATCCGCCAGATCTGTTTCTACCATCAGAAACTGTCAGTCACGTCTCCTAAACCGTTAATGCCCAGCTATTGCTACGCTCGGGCCCACGCTGTTCCTTGCGGTTTTTCAGAAACGCTTAGTTATAACGGACGAAAAAACCAAAAGACCGATTGGCCGCTTGAGAATTCTTTATTGTTACACCAACATATAAAAATAATATTTGAACTAAGGTCTGTGAACAAATATTACAATAATAAATCACAATATTACTTCTGATGGTTTACTGCTGACTTCTTTCTGAACAGCGACCGATGAGACGATGACTGTCGTATTGATTCGTCCGCGAAAATTGGGGAAGTTGATTTTGAGCAAACAACCAAGAATTGATCGTTCAATCTTCAACTCCATTGACAAGACCTTTGCAGACAGGGATCGAACCCCATACCATGTGCATGGCCGGTGAGCATTGTCAGTGTAGTCGAAGACCGAACGATCAATTCATGGTTGTTTGCTCAAACCCAACTTCCCCATATTTTTTGCGGAGTCATCAATCCATCAGTCATCGTCTCATCGATCGCTGTTCAGAAGGAAGATTAAGAAACTATCAGAAGTAATATCGTGGATTATTGTTGTAACATTTGTTCTTAGAACTTCCTCTGTAATAACAGTATTGTTGGTTATATGTTGGCGTTAGAATAAAGGATTCTTGAGTCGCCGAATAGTGTTTTGATTGTCGTGTCGGTGAATACTAAGCGCTTCTAAAAATCTTCGAGGGACAGCGCGAGGCCAGCGTAGCAAGAGCTGGGCATTGACGGTATATGAGACTTGACTGACAAGCGTCCTAACCGCTATGCCACCGACGCATTTTATAATTTGCACTAAGCTTATTATATCCCTAGTGTTTTATTACAGTTCACAATTTCTCAGATCGTGAAAAACACCCATAAGTACGTTAGAAAGAAGGGAACACAAAGTACAGCAAAGATATCTTTTCGGTAATTTCATTTTCAAATAATACATAATAAAAAATACATAATTTTACATGATACAAGTCTTATTTCGTTCCACATAATTACGAGGGCGAATGAAAGGTGACAATTATTTTCAACTGTTTTTGGTTTACGAAGAGGCGTGGTAACAAAATTACCCACAGGATTAGAACGAATTACAGGTGTGTATAAATGAGCACATTCTCTATCTTCATTGAGTTCACCACATCTTTTCAGTCAAGTATGAGGATGGATTTACCACCGACAACATTGGTCGGTGATCGCTCTAAAATAACGAATTGGCAGAATTTAGAATTCATGCCCTAGCCATAGTCAACAAAGTATCCTGAGGAGTAGGCGATTAGGAAGATACGCTGCTGTACCTAGATTTCGTATACTTGTAGCGTATGCTTCTGAAAAGGTTTATCAGTAGTCGGATCCCACTGGCTGGACGGTATACGAGCTTGCCTTGTAACTGGAAGATGCTGGGTTCGGACTTTGGTGGTGGGTGCGTACGGCCGACGAATGTCAATATTTGCTTACCTTGGCGTACGTTTATTTGCTTCCGGTAATATTTCGGGCAAAATTACTGCCCGATTTTGTGGTAAGCATTTTCCTCGCACACCACTGAATATAACTCACCCCCACCCCCAAATGAAACTTAAATTCTTTTGGCAATAAAACATTAGTATGTCACCCTTTTGTCTATTCACACTTTAACTGCGAATATTCTGAATGACTGCACTTTTTTATATAGTTTCATTTGACAATAATAAATAACGAACTATCATTCCATGTTATACATGTTACCCAATACGCATATACTCAAATATAATTTTCACGCGCTTCTAATAGCCATTTATATTATAATATTTATGGATTTATAACTGTAGTAGAACATGAGGAAGAGTTTATTAAAACAATTATTCTCTCAAAATCATCTTGTTCTGATTACACTATAGGGATTTTTAAATTACTAATTAGGGAAGTTTTTGAATGGTTTATTTCCGAAGGTTTGCAATGTTATACAACCAATTAGATTCGTTTGTTAGTCTATGGCTTCAGTTTCTGAGGTTTTATAAATCATTTATATACCATCTACGTATTTCAAATAATAAAACGTTGTCATTGTTGTCACAGTTAAATCTGAAATTTGTGCCCATCTCAGCTGGGCGAGGGGATACTTCCAAGAAGTAACTTAGTTATAGCATCAGGTCCCGAGGTATATTCAAGTCAAGTTAGACAATAACAACACCAACCATTAATCAGTAGCAGTCCGTTATACCACTTAAAGTGTGGTCAAAACTAAATCTCCATCACATTTATTCATGAAATGTATCTTTTCGTTTTATCTTTCTATTGATGATGTCCTCCTGGAAGTATCAGACAGAAAAAACGTTAAGCTGTGGTGAGAGCTGTCTGCTAGCCAAAACTGGCAGACAGCAATTTACGTCAGTGTTTATGTCCCATATCTTGGTCATGAGAAAAAGCAAAAACAAAGACTAACCCAACAACCAATCACAGTAGACTATGCGTGGGTGGCTACGATTCGCAGGTATATGGCCTGACCTTCAAAAACGGTCACAAAGAGATAACAGAATAACCGTCAGCCGAAAACAACCCATCAGAAGAGGCTGTTTCTCTTCTAGTAATAACGAATAACGATGTAAACGAAAATATATAAATATCTCTTGATTCCCTCAATGAAAAAGATCCATTGCCTGGCCGTTGTCTTCTGTCGTTACAAGAAATATCAGCGATTGGCGACACAGACATACCTACTATTTAGTTTGTTCAAAAGCTGTCACTCTTTTCTGACTGCTTTTATTCGAAATTTTTCATAACAATTCATGAAAAGCAACCAAAGTTTTAAAATAAAACTCTCGATAGAGGTAGGATTCAAGCCAGTGGCAAAAGTCCAATTTTCTACTGTTTCAGATTATGAGATTTAGATTGATTTCGGATTTTTAGACTTCGTGAAGAACCAACATCAATTAGAGAGATCATTGAAAACCACCCAGGGGGCACTGGACAGTTGTTTCGTCGTGCTTTGCGACTCTTCACAAATGCACATCCATGAGCCCACCACAGATCAGACCACTAACTTTCAGGTTACGAAACCAGGGCCGTAATTCAAACACCTGTGAACTTTAACTTTTGTCAATTCGTTATAAAAGTTGATCACTGACGAAATCTCATCACGAATTCAGAAGACTCGTTTGGCATATGCCAACTTACGATATCTCTGGCTTAGCTGAACCTCATATCCGACTGTCGACCAAAAGGCGTGTATACTGCTCAGAAGTTCATTTTGTCCTCTACTATGCCTAGCTGTGAGACAAGGTCGTCCAAATGCCGAAGATTTGTAAAAGTTAGCTGTCTTTGATCATAGGTGTCTGCTTTCTATCTCCCATGTTTAGTGGTATAATATTATCATTATATTATTATCGTATCCCTTAGTTCCTAGAGGAACATAGAACTTCAGCTGCGCACATCCATTGCCTTCTGTTTTCTGCCAACTTTTTCACCCCGCTCCAGGTCTGTCCACATGCTTTCAACTCCTCTTCATATCACCTCCTCCAAGTCACCCTTGGACGACAGACTCGCCACTTCCCTTTTGGGTTCCACTCGAGCAATGGCTTGTCTAGTGATGTCACTTGATGGTTTGTTTTCTCAGAGTATGGCCAATCCATCTCCATTTCTTCCTGCCTATTTGTTTCACAATTGGTTCCTGGTTGGTTCGCTCATTGCCAGAGATCCCTATTGCTGATCTCTTCTGGCTGGCCGGCCATCTGATCTTGAGTGGTATTGAGCGATGACAACTGTTAATGAAGGTCTGTATTTTGTTTGGGATGCTCTTTATGACTCGCTGGCCAAGTCTCTAATCCGTTTGGTAAGTAGCACTGACTGACTTCACAATGGAGTTGAAAATCTGGATGTTATTTTTGATGCTGAGTGCTGTTAACCTTCACACAGATTTGAGAGTAATGAAAGCTTGTCTTGTTTTTCCGATTCTTGCTTTGATATACTCGTCAGTTCCGTCCACCTGTAGTTGAAACGATGCTTCCCAGGTAGGTGGGTAGGTAAAGGAGGTTGTTTCTTTCAGGTTCCTTGCATTTATGCTGGCTGATTGTTGTCTGTTCTTGTTGTTGCTGTTGGCCAAGAATCTTCATCACCTCTGTTTTATCTATGTTCACTTGAAGTCCTATCTTTGAAGCTTGTTCTGCGAACTTGTCGCTTTTCACTTGTATATCTTCCAGTTTGTGGGAAATCAGACATATATCATCGGCGAAGTCCAGATCCTCCTCACAGTGGTATAATAGGGTCAGTAATATTGAGGTTAGCTATCAGTCGAGTGCTAGGTAGGGAGGGAAAATCAATTGATGAGGTTGTGAAGTTATATTGATTGTGATGGTTAAGACATGTATTATGCACGCCTAGACATCCATCGGCTTCCTCGGCGGGTGATGTTAGCTGACAAAGGATGAATCAGGTTGGAAAAGAGATAGTGGTGGTCGAACTAAAACATGGGGTCAATCAATCAAATCCATAAACGTTGTTTTAAGCCAACCATGTAGGGAGGTGTAGACTGCCAGTTTGATTCGCGTTCTCGGAACGGTAAAGGGGAATGAAGGCTGGAGATAACAATTGGTGATATAGCTTAAAATCCTTCTTAATGGCTCTATTTCTTCATGTTACTCGTCTTTCTCCTTCACATTTCTGCTCAGTTATCGTTATTCCGAATCCCTATGTTCTATGCTGAAACCAGTCAGTTAGTCGGATAGTCAGAAATACTAAGGAGATCCAGTTAGTTGTCAGTGTTGTATTTTTATGAGAAATTAATATTCACTTCCCAACTTTTCTGTGATTTAACAAAAATAGTTCCAAAGAAAAAGTAGTTAGAAATTAGGCAAGCAAACGGTAAAACAAGACAGAACACACGAGAAGTGTTCAAATAACTCAGATCACGAGTATAAAATGAAAAAAATATATAAATAATGAACTTTGACACAGAAAGTTTACTAGTCCATATTCATTTTTGCTGTTTTTCTTGTTGTTATTAGTTAAAAGGCTAAATAAAACAAAATAGCGCGCTGCTACGCACAACTCACTGCCTCTCTCCCTCACACACGTTAACAAACAGTCAAGAGAAAGACAATAATGAAAGTGTCAACAAGAGTAGACAAGCCACAAACAATACCATGAAATAAAACAGTATGTGAGTCATTGTTTGTGTATGTACGTGTGTGTGTGTCTGTGAGTACATCGTATGAAGCGCCATATTTTGTCTAACATTCAGTCTAAAATTTTGAATATTTATCTATAACCACATGTATATATATATACATGCATACACACAAATCTATGCTCTTGTTTTTTTGAGCAGGCAAACTTTATTCTCTGTCTATTTGTCTATTGAAACATTGAACAGTTTTGTTTAAAATTATGAACAAAAAAATATACAAGTTTAAAAAACAAAAACAAACAACTGTAGAGATAAGGGAATAAATTTTATTCTTCTGAGATATTTTTTTTTGTATTCCGCGTAAAATGAAAAGTTATTTTACAAACAAAAGAAAAAAAACATTTAAAAAAATAAAACAGTTTAAAAGTCAGAAGGATGCTGTTGTTACAAGCCTCCTTCACACAGTATTCACCACTAGAACTGTACACACAAATCCTCTCCTTTCCCATCTATCCATCCATTCATTCGTTTGAAGATATCACGAAAGAACATAGAGGCGCGCCGGTAAAAGTTGATGAAGACTACTTCAAAGGTTGTTTGTTGTAGGCTGCTCTCTCCGTCTATTCGGCGGCTTCTTAAACCACCATCAGTGGGTGTGAACATATATATATATATATATATATATATGAAAGTGAAAATATACATGTATTAATAGAGAGCAGAGAATGAAAGTCTGTATGACGTCATCATCTTTCAAGGTTTACACAGGCACATACACACAAACCAACCACCTGTCTTTCTCTCTGTGTGTGGGTGTATGTTAGCAACAATTCCTTCCACGGCTATTACACAATACAAACAGAAAAAAAATAATAATAATAAAAACTGATCTTTACTTAAAAAAGTCGTGGTGGTGTGTGTGTGTGGGTGAGTGGCGGGGTGGGGTGAAGTAAATAAATTAAAAGTTCATTCTACACGCTAACTAATACAAAAATATATACTACTAACATAAATATGATAGTAGGATCTGGTTGTTGATAAAAACAAACGAAAAAGAAAAAAAAACAGAATTTGTTTGTTTGCTTGGATTTTTTGAAAAAAAGTTTTGTGTGTAACTGTGTATGTATACATGTATATCTGTGTGTGTTTATGTCATAGTTGGTGGGATGGAACCACAGCTAAAGCACACTACCCCACTACTACTACTAATAATAATGAGTCCATTAAATGAATGACATTTGTGTTAACGAATACAAAATACATTTTTATATGTATGTCAACTCATTTGAAAGTTTTGTTCTGCTCTGTTCTGTTCTATTCTGGGTTTTTTTTGTTTTGCCTGTGAGATGAAAGCCCTGGTGAAAAATAGTCTTGTTTTCGCTTTACACAAACATTACAGACCAATAAATGAACGAAGTGGAAATGGGCGAGGGATGGGACGACTGAAAGGGTGTGGAACTAACGCATAGGTCAAAAGTGTATTCAAAAAGAAGGAGTCAAAGACGGAGGGCGGGGGTGGTGGTGGGTCGGAAAGGACAAAGAAGAAGACGAAAGCCAGACATGTCAGAAAGGGAAAGGCAACAATCAACAAGGGAGTGTGTGTGTGTGTGTTCGGATGTATACAAACAATAGACAGTTGAATAAAACGGAAAGAGGAAGAGTACAAAGATCAGGGAAGAGACGACAATCATGCTTCACTATTGACATCAAGATGGAAGAAAGTGAAGTCGTGGAATGCTGAATTCAATACTGCTTGTGTCAATAAATTATAAAGACAATTGAGAAGGTAACTGACTAACTCACTGATGAGTGAGTTAGTTTGCATTGTGAGAAAATATTGTGATTTTATTTATTTATTCTTAATAAATATCAGGACATTTCGACCAATCTTGTTTTTCTTTAGCTTGCCAATAATTGTCCAGGTAGACATGATATAAATTACCATTGGAATCGTATTTTGGAGCAAACCAAATCGGTGTGAATAGTGGTTCATTGGTTAGACCTTAATTGGATAAGAGTGATAAACAAAAAAGGAACAAAAAATCATAAGGGAATAAAGCTGATATTAAAACCATGATACGAAAACAGATTATTCCTTGAAGAAAAGTAGACATCAACAATAACAATATGGGCAAAGGCTAACAATAGCATATACCAAGGGATTCGAAAGATGACGTATATTTACAAGAAAATGCATGAAAACTCATTAAACAGGATGTCCTTCTCTCACATGATGACTTAAAAATACATCCCAGTTATATTATGAGGAGTAACAGTTGCTAAGTTAGACTAGTTAGTGTCTGTAGACGTGTATTCACCAAGGTGACTGAAGATGTGCTGTTCTTTTTTTTGAATTGTTTACCTTTCTTATCCTCTCGTGCAGTCTTCCCCGAAAGTCCTCAATTTCCAGTAAGACGATCAACGATTACTTACTAGGAAAATGTGGGTAATAAAACAAATTAAAATAAATTACATCTCTAGTCGTAACCTTGTGCGTTGGTGACACAAGGGTACAATGTGGTCGTCGACCACTCAGGTGGTCCAGCGTTCTATCCCCTGCCAACGACTCACTCCTTTACCTCGCTAAGCTAGTAATAAGACTGATAAAGAGGGAAGGTTGAGCGTGAGGGAATAGCAACCCCATCCTGTAAAAGTAAACACCACTGCTAGCGAAACTTCACACCTCTAGCCTAACCCTATGTTCCACTGGGAATGTGAAGGAATAAAACAAAAAATTTTGTAACCCTAGCCTTAATCCTGACTTTAATCCTAAACTTAATACCAATCTTAACCATAATTACAACCCTTTTCCTAACCCTAATTATGACTCTGATTATAACCCTTACCCCAATACTTACCTGAACCCTAATCCTAACCCTAACGACCTATTAACACATTAATCCGAACAGTACTTAAAAAGTGTAATCTGGGAGAAATTTGCTCCTTAGTTGATATTTCAGCTTTGGTAATTACATGTGCCGTTAGCCAACCAACAACTAGCATGTGTTCAAGGTCATTTGAGCGTTCGCGCTCCTGGGATGCTATTGTTGAACTTCGCCACAATATGTAATATGTATATGACTAAACTGAGGTCGATTTCCGATTTTCCGCCCTATGGACAGGCAGATTATACCCCAAAGTCGCTTAACTTCATCAATATATAAGTAATGCTCTTAGTAAACAAGTTAACTAACTGTTTACTATTTTTGGACGAAACTCAAACACATCTTGTGAGACCTCAATTTTAATCACGAATTGACGTAAGTTAGACAATCAATATAAACCGTAGAGAGTACTGGACAACTGTTTCATTTTTGTTTGGGACTCTCCTCAGACGTATACACACTCATGACTGCACACCAGAGGGGATCGAACCCAGTTCCTTGTACTCCTTTCAGGTTACACAGCAAACTTTTATACTATTCATTCAACCAATGGGACAGTGGAATCCAATGACCGGGTCCATCGATTCTAACTTCTGCCAGTTTGAGATACAGACTGATCACCGCCAGCTATAATGCCAGCCAACTTGGTGGATCCCGCTGACTGCGACTTTCTCCACTAGTGAGACCGTTCTGAGATATTATTGGACTGATTGATGGTGGGTGATGCAAGCTGAAGATGGTGCTTTGAAACCTCCTGTGAGACCTGGGATTTTATTTCCCTTTTATTTGTCATTTATTAGGTCTATATATATAAGTCTGTCTTACCACAGCTACCCTAGACAATCTCACTAACGACTAAAAACTTACTCCAGTCTATCTAATTTCTTAAGATCTGATATCCAACTGGTCAGATATGATGTGATAATCTTGGGACGTACAAGTGATTTTAATGAAGTGATAAATTAACAAATAGCAGCTGATTCTTGAAGTTCAACACTGGTAACGGCGATAGGGGCGGGTGCTGGTCAGGAAACAGCCGGTAGTAGCATGGAGATCACAGGTTTCGATATCATCTTCAATTACCTACCAGTCATTACATTTCACTTTAATTCGTATGGCAGTTGTACTGTATTCAAGACAGTTAATCACATATAGAAGGTTGGTTCGATTGGTAATTGCCAGCTGATACTTACAGATGATGACGTTTAAGAATCATTCAGGTGGTTTTAGCTTTCGGTATACTGTGAATTTTATTAGCAAAACATTCGTTACCAAATTTTATTTTGATAAATCACAGGGTTATTTTTGTTTTCCTTCACGTTCGCAGTGGAACATAGGGCCTCAAGCTGGTGGCTTGAAGTTTCTGTAGCAGTGTTTAATTTTTACAGGATGGGGTTGCTAGCCTCATGCCCAACCATTCCTATTTACCAGCATTATTTCTGGCTTAGCGAGGTAAAGGAGTTCGTCGGCCGGGGATCGAACCCCGGACCATGTGCATGGTCGGCGAGCGTCCTAACCGCTGTGCAACCGATGCACACAGTGTTATACAGTAATATTAACTGATGCGACCACGTTTCGAGCACAACTATTCCCACTCACAATCATAACAAGTCACTCACTAACATAACTTTTTCATTCATTTATATGAAATTTATGGAATTTGATGATTAGACAGTTGAATAAAAATCAATATGAGATAATGTACATTCAGAAATAATAATATGAGTGTTATTAATCAAATACAATCAGATGGGAAATAAGACGAATGCTTTTATAGTCCATATAAGTAACTTGTTAGAATGTACTTGAATTGAAGTAGAATTTTAAGATTATTTATTATCCTTCTCTGATTTGACTGACTGGTGGTGATAATATCTTCCGTACCTGTGATATTTGCATTGAGTCATTTCTGTTGCATTTGTTGGCTGTAGACTCGATGAACAAGGATTCAGTAATCAACCTCTCTCTCCACCTATCTATATTACTTCTTAGAATTTTAACTCTCTCCCACCCACCGTATTGTGTGGTTGTGTGTTAATGCATGCAGTGCAATTACTTATTACTTATCTTCTTGGGGTCAACCATTCCTACCTTAGACAAATTCTTATGTTCCGACAATCTGACTATCCCCGACCTACTAGTTTGACCTATGTAGTTGACTTAATTCACAGTCATTGCAGGGTATTTTGTAAATTATATTATTTTGTTTAATTGGGTCCACTGGGTCTTTCAGCTCACAGAGCCTGTCTCTGAGTGAGTTTGTAGGTTTGAATGCCACCCTAATTCCTGCTTTATTAAAAATCCTATGTAGAGCCTCAGATGTCCCCTTCTTATAAGGTAAAACTGTAGATGCCTTATATTCGCTCTTATTTATGTTATCATTATTAGTTTCACCATTATTTTTATTCTGCTTTTGACCTGTTTTGATATTCCTAATGAATTTTATAGGATAGATATTCAACACTGACGCCTCTTCTGTCTGTTTCATTTAACCGTTTAGGTCTTTTATGTGCTACTTACTTAGTGCTATTGTTCGGTTTGTTAGACAACTTAACTAAGTTGTGTGAGTGAGTGACTTGATACGATTATAAGCAGTAATAATTTGTGCTCGAAACATGGTCGCATCAGTTAATATTACTGTATAACATAACTGTGTAATTTATCAAAATAAAATCCTATCTATAATGGAGTTATACTCTACCACAGTCAGTGCCCAGTTTTTATACTTATATTCGTTATCAAAGTCTAGGTATCATATTCTATCATTTTTTTCCTTTACGTTCCCCTGTGGAACATAGGGCCTCAAGCTAGTGGCTTGAAGTTTCTGTAGCAGTGTTTAATTTTCCTAGCCTCATTTTTATTTTTATTTTTTTATTTTTGATTACAGCTTGATTCCACACTGTATTTTTGGTACAAGTATGGAATTTTCAGCATGGATATCGGTAGCCCAAAATTCGCAGGCCGACCATAGATATCAAGGTGTGCGTCGGCGTGGGCTCGAACCCCGGACCATGTGCATGGTCGGCGAGCGTCCTAACCGCTGTGCCACCGACGCACAAGCGGAGGAAACTTAAACCGACGAACTTAGTGGAGGGGGGATACTGTTGAATGTGCTATTTATTAATTAAGCAGATATGGAATGTTAACTCAAGAAGTCGAATTTCCTTAGATCCATGAGTCCTAGGTTCGAATTCCAGTCAGGTGTCTCAGACATTGGGTAGTACAGTCAGTCCTTACACAATAATGTATGCCACATAACCCGGTGTACGTATGTATGCTTGAGGAAGCCTTTTCAGGTAGGTAAGTTCTAACGACACAATTTCCCTCTAAAACACCTGACATAAGTAAATACTTCTTCTTATCACAATCAAGACAATAATAGAAGCAAAATAAAAGATAACACCGACCTTCTCGAACTGCTTTTTCCCAAGCGTGTCGTTTATTCCGTTGTTTAACTTCTAAACGACGTTTCTCATCATTTGCTTGATCCCATAATCCTTCTTCCATAAGACGTTGATCAGGTCTAAATCTTGAATCTGTCGGTGCAACACCCTCTTCCATTTCATTTAATTCAATAGCGAATTGTGAGAAATGATACATCTAAAAGTGGAAAAATTATGAAAAGTGGTGTGATGATAACACTAGTGACTAAATATTTAAGAAGCTCGTTTCAATACCTGATACTGATACTTTGTGCAGTAGACAACAGAAGACGAGGGGCAGGCAACAGATCGTCTATTCAGGAAATCAACAGATATTTATAGATTTTTATCTACATTATTACTCTTTATTCTTAGCAGAGAAGCAACGTCTTTTGAGTGGTCGTTTTCCTGATGAAGGTTGTTCTGTCATCTCTTTGTTGCCGTTTCTTAGACAGCTCGGTGATATATCTGCGAATCGTATCTGCCCACGCAAAGTCCGCTGTAATTGGTTGTTGAGATCCTCAAGGTTAGGCTTGGTTCTTGTTTTCTCTCCTGACCCCGGTTTGGAATGTAAACATTGACGTAAATTGCTGTCTACCAATCTCGGCTTGCAGACAGCTCTCACCACAGACGTATGCGAAGTGATGGAATAACTCAAAGATGAAACAGCTGTCAGTTTATTCATGCTTATCTGTTTGACTGACTACTGAATACCAACACAGTAAAAGCGATAACGTTCAATGTATATGGCTGATCATAAAGGGCGAAAGTATTTGCGCCATCAATAACAATTTCAAGCCATATCGCCAATAGTCTCCAGCTAGCTATTGGTTCTGAGCGTACTGAGGATCCCAACCAGGAAGTCTAGGCCTCTCCTTCATGGTTGGCTTAAACTGACTGTCAAAGATTTCACGAACTGATGACCATTTCTTCATCTTTTGCAACTCGATCCTATGTCAGCCAACATTTCCAGTCGAGGTGAGCAGTGGCTCGGCGGTATGCTCAACACATTTCCTAGTGATCTCAGTCGACTCAACTGTGCAATCTCATTGATCAACTATGCCTCCTTACCTAACACTCTACGCTTAACCTCAACATGACTCATCACATTAAATTACCTAACATGGGATATAAAAAGCAGACACATAAGATCAGAGAGAAAGCTCTCCTTTTCATATTTTCCACTTTCAATGACCATATATCACAGTTAGGCATAAAGGAGGACACAGCGAACCCTAATGAGCAGTACACACATTGTTGCATCGATAGTTGAATATCACATCTTCATCAGATGATGATGTAGGTCGGAAAGTGTCGAAACGATTCACTGTTGAGATTTCACAGTCTATCTATCTATCAATCAGTCGGTTGAGGTTGATGCATCTTCCCAAATAAGCGCATTAGTCAACACACCCCTTATATTTCACTCATTACCTTTTTCGAATCTGGAGGGAAACGAAGAGTAGTGAATAAATCTGGGCTATTGAGAACACAACGACTTTCAATCATTTCAGCAATTATCTCCAGTCATTGCCTACCTTTATGGCATTCCAAAACCTCCAGAGACAAGCAAATTAGACCTCTTCACATAGCTAAAAGAAGTCACAGTTAAAGTGTCTATTCTAACTGATGCTAACTACTTTCTCAACCAGAATATTACGTCAGCCGATATGGATAGGTGGGTATGCATATCACATGCCCAACTCCCCCCTTTCCCGACGTAGTCTTGTAATTATTGACCATATTTATAACCACATAACATAAGAAATTCAAGGCAGATATCCACGGGCGAAAATAGATCATTCTTTCCTACATTCCACTTCATCAACCACATCTAACACTCATAAAATTTTTTTGATTTGACACTAGCAACTAGTGTGATGTGTCTAGTCCTCTCTTTGGTGCAGACTGAATTCTCTCAGTCAGGTTGTAATGTGGTCACCATTCTAGGTAGCTCGCCATCATGGTGCACATTGATTTGATGATATCAGATGGTTAGAGGTAGTCGGCCACAGGAAGCCTTGCTTGACCTAGGTTTCGTGCTAGTTGGCACTCACCAGTCAGCAAGGCGTATCTGCAGCCTTAAAGGAACTCATGTCCCTTCTGAGAATCGAACCCGCGTCACCCAGTGTTGCAGCCAGAGGAGTTACCACTGAGCTATTTGAGCTTGCGATTGACCTCCTGTAGAACTGTAGTGGATAATTTGATTTGACACTAGTAACTAGACTGATAGAATTCAGTCTGAACCATAGAGAGGACTAGACACACCACACTAGTTACTAGTGTCAGATCAAAAATATTCACTACAGTCCTACAGGAGGTCAATCGCAAGCCCAAATAGCTCAGTGGTAACCTCTCTGGCTGCAACACTGGGTGATGCGGGTTCGATTCTCAGAAGGGACATGAGTTCCTTCAAGGTTGCAGATACGCCTTGCTGACTGGTGAGTGCCAACTAGCACGAAACCTAGGTCCAAGGCTCCTGTGGCCGATTACCTCCAACCATCTAATAATCACTCATAAAAAAGGAAAAAGAGCATTTCTGAGTTTTGATAGGAGAGAGAGAGAGAGAGATGAGACATCAGTGGCACAGATGATGTAAGTTTGCAAATGCCACGCGAGGTTTTTCGTATCCATGTTGTGAGGTGAATCCAGCAAGGTTAATAAAACTTCTCAATACAATCAAGTGTTACCCCCCCCATTCTCTGCCCTCCCCATAAGGCATGCGTAAGTGCAGACTGATGAGAACAAAATTGAATTCATGTTACTTTTTAAAAACACACCTCGATTTTCGTTTTATTTTCTCCTGTTGACTAGTTTGGTGGATGGTGATGATGACTAGCAGTGGAATCCGGGATGTGCATTCTATTCTTGCCACAGGAAGTGCTTCTCATGTCCACGTAGTCTAGTGGATAACGGCCTAGGAGTTCGAATCTCACCGGGGAAAGCATTATTCACTAGAGGGAATGTAGGTAAATCCAGATGATGAGTAGTCTCAAATAGGTCGAAAAGTACATCCTGGATCTGATAGAGAATATTTGTAGCTCAGGTGGATGATTTTGATGTGATTGTGTTCCCTGAGCTGGATAGTTAATTTGCGAAGCTTTCATCGCCCTACTAGACGACATCTTCAGCCCATACTTCAATTCGTTGAAGTGAGCTTTTGGATTTCTCCACGAATTTATTAATCATCTCTCCCAGTGGGTGACATTGGACGTGATTTGTTGTTTCTGTGTGTTTTCACATCTTCTAGGTTACTTCTTTTGGAACTGATTGTTTGCTTGACTTGAACTTTGACTCATTGTGTGCCAGGTTTCTTTCTTATCGGTTGATAAATTTTGTCTAACTCGATGTGTAGAAGGTAAAACCAACATCATCTAGAAAATGAACTGCAACAGCTGCGAAAAACACTACATTGGCCAAACTGGATGTCCCCTCCGTCTTCGTATCCACGAACATAAGCTAGCCATCAAAATATGATATCCACTCCCTCGCTCATATCACTACATACAGACAACCATGGGCATCGATTCGACTGGGACAACCAACGTTCAAATAGTAGACATAGGAAACACCAAGAATGCTAGAAATTTCTTAGAAGCTTGGTATTCCAGTGAATCATCAATTAATAGACACATCAAGATAGACAAAATTAATCAACCGATAAGAAAGAAACCTGACACACAATGAGTCAAAGTTCAAGTCAAGCAAACAATCAGTTCCAAAAGAAGTAACCTAGAAGATGTGAAAACACACAGAAACAACAAATCACGTCCAATGTCACCCACTGGGAGAGATGATTAATAAATTCGTGGAGAAATCCAAAAGCTCACTTCAACGAATTGAAGTATGGGCTGAAGATGTCGTCTAGTAGGGCGATGAAAGCTTCGCAAATTAACTATCCAGCTCAGGGAACACAACCACATCAAAAACATCCTGGAGGCCACCAAGGCTATTCACCATCTTCCAAAAATTTAATTTAAATTAATCCTCAAACATCGTTGAAGTGTCCATACCGGGAGTTGTTAAGTCAACAGAAGGCGAACATTTCAGTCCAATCAATCAATCAATCATCCTCTGCTTTACTAACCACATTTGTTGCTTGTTTTAAATGAATATCGGGAAATAAATGTTTTGAAATCAACACGCAAATCAATAAAAAAAATTAAGACTGAAAACTTACATCTGATGCATTCGGAGGTAGTGGATTACATCTCCATAACAATTTCGGTTCACCAATAGGGACTTTATCAGTTGACAAAGGTTGATATTCGATATGATCATCCCATGTCCCTTGAACTATTGCAACTGGTATATCGGAGGGATTTTTTACAAAACCTGTAACCTAAACAGTGATAGAATAGAAAAGGGAGAGAGAAAGAGGAGAAGGGTATAGTGTTATTGCCGGCATGTTGTAATATGGTATACTTTACGTTAACTAAATTATCATACAACACAGTTAACATGCGATAATCACGAATTAGTGGAAAAAGATCCAACGTTAGCAATTGGCAGAAGAAGCATCGAAAACAGGACGGAATTTATTTCAGGTGAACATAGAGAAAACGGAGGTGATGAAGATTCCTAGCCAACAGCAACATCAACAACAACAGACAACAGTGAGCATAAATAGGAGAAATCTGAAAGAAGTAACCTCCTTCACCTACCTACCTATCTGGGAAGCATCGTTTTTCAACCACAGGCGGAACTGACGGGGATATCAAAGTAAGGCAAGCCTTCATTTCTCTCAAGTCTCTGTAGAGATCGACAGCACTCAGTATGAAAAACAAGATCCGGATTGTCAACTCCAATGCTACTTTATGGATAAGAGACTTAGTGCGTCATAAGAGCGCTTCCGACAAACTACAAACCTTCGTCAATAGCTGTCTTCGCTCAAGATCAGATGGCCAGCCAGAAAAGATCAGCAACACGGATCTCTGGAAATGTGCAAACCAACCAGAAACCGATTGTGCAATAACTATGCGGGAAGAAATGGAGTCCGATTGGCCATACTCTGAGAAAACCGTCAAGTGAGATCAAACGCCAGGCCCTTGCTCGAGCGGAAGCCGAATGGGAAGCGGTGAGTTGGTCATCAGTGCGAGGGTGGGGTGACATGGAGGAGGTGATGCGAAGAGGAAATGAAAGCATGTGGGCAGACTTGGAGCCAGATAAAAATGTTGTTAGAGAACGGAACGCACTGGAGACGTGAGGCTGAAGCCCTATGTTCCTCCAGGAACTAGAGGAAACAATAAAAATAATAATAAATAACTGGCTTGAACATTCAGATTGCCATACATCTGCTCTAATAATGACCTCACTGATAATATGACTATATGAGAGTAATAATTAATTGAATACAATACACCTTGGTGATTTGAAGCTAAATTTACAATGGAAACCATAATCGACATGTACCAACACTGTCCAACAAACGACTTTACTGACATGACAAGACCCGAAGGAGCATTAGTATAGTCTAGTAACCACACACATATACACGAAATTGAAGAGATGTCACAAAATTAACAGCAGCTTTACAATCTATTGACAAGAGTTTATCAGTCAGTCAGTCTGTCTGTTTTCGACATAGAACTTTGCACAAATGTGCGGAAGTTCAAGTCGCCACACTCCGTGTAGCACGCGAAGCAAAAGAAGAAATTACAAAAAAAGCATAATAGAAACAGTGAGGAGAGGTGTGAGACAAAGGAGTAATAACGAAGAACAAAACAGTTTCATTGGAAATCATAAGTCACAAGGAGTGGATGCATCTGCGCCACTGAGAGCGATTTTGAGCCATGTCACCAATTGTTTCCAACCATAGATTACTACCGTCCCGAGGACCCCAGCCTGGAAGTCTACACCTTCCTACGTGGCTTAGACCAACTGCTGTGGATTTCATTGACTGGTGAAGCCAAGTTTTTGTTTGACCGCCGCTAGCTTTTTTCCAGCCTGACCCTATATCCGCTAACATTGCTCGTCGAGGGAGGCGATGACTAGGCATACTTAACACATGTCCTAACCATCTCAGTCTTTGTAGCTTCACGACTTCGTCGATTGATTTCCCCTGTTTACCTAGAACTCTACGCCTAACTTCAATGTTGCTCACCTTATTATGCCACTTTACACGGGAGATAGAACGCAGGCACCTCTGATCAAAGACAGCTAGTCTTTTCATGTCTTCCACTCTCAGTGGCCAGGTCTCACAACCATAAAGGAGGACGGAGCGGACTGATGAGCAGTACACCCGTCCTTTGGTCGATAGTCGGATATCTCGTCTACGCCAGAGTCGGCGTAAACTAACAAATGCGAAACGAGCCCTCTGTATTCGTGCTGAGATTTCGTCAGAGATCAACCCGTTGGCACTGGCTGATGGTACTTCCCAAATAAGTGAAGCGATCAACGTGCTCTACCACTTCACTTCCTATTTTTAAACTAGGCGTCGATGTAGTCCAGTCCAGTCCTGTAACATCATCTTGCATTTAGCGGGAGCGAACCGCATGCCAAACATTCGTAGAGTGCGGCTCAAGGTGTTCAGAAGACTCTGCATTTCGTCAGCGTCTTCGCCTAGAAGGACTATATAGTCTGCATATTCTAAGTCCATAAGACTATTCCCTGGTAACAAGTCGATTCCTAAGTCGTTACGTTCAGTTACGATAGACAGGACAATTCAATGGTTTATGAATTCTTACTTCTACCAATAGGTGATTCAGCGCGACCCCAAACAATGCTCGCAAGTGACTTTGCTATAGGACAGAATATCCTGGAGTTCTAGTGAGAAGTCATGATCAGTGAGGTTCATCCAGTCAAGTGTGAGGATGGATGTTCCATAGACGACATTGGTCGGGGTCACGCTAAATCACGAATTGGCAGAAGTTAGAATTCATAGGCTAGCCAGTGAATCGGGTGTCAGTGGCTGAATGATTTACGAGCCTGCCTTGTAACTGGAAGGTTCTGGGTTCGAACCCCGGCGGTGGGTGCGTACTTCTGATGGTTCCCAAACTAGGAAGAAACGGCTGGTTGTCCAGTACTCCCTGTGGCTGGTTTTCAATGGCTCTCTAACTGATATCAATCTGTGATCAACTCGTAAAAACCATATTCTAGATGTTGTCAACTTCCTCGAATAATGTGAGTACCGATTATTGCTGCGGCTGCTACTACTGTAACAACAGAAGACAAGGGCCAGGCAACAGATCGTTTTATTATGAAAATCAACACGTATTTATATATATTTCACATACATTATTATAGCTTATGCAAGTAGACAAGCGCAGTCATCTGATTGGTTGTTTATCAGAAGTTAGGCAGACAAACGCAGGCTTCTGATTGGTTGTTTCGGGATTCCTCGAAAAATAGAGTTCTCTATCTGCGAATCATATTTTGCCACGTTAACTTTGCTGTGATTGGTTGTTGAATCAGCCTTGTACATATTTTCTCACGGCCTGCTCTCACCACACTACTACTACTACTACTACTACTATTATTACTAGTAATAGTTAAAATCAGCTGGTCAGTAACCTAATCTTTAAAATGACCTATATTCTTGGCGTTAAAGTGATATACTAATGCGCCTTCAACTTGCTTAGTCAAATTCCTTATTTTCAACCTATGATATGTTAAAAAAAGTGTTGTTTACGCTTTCTTCTTGTCACCTCTCTTCAGGGCGTCGGGAAGGTTGGCTGCGAGACTAGCAGCAACTCCACTGTATAATAAAAATAAAACCACCTCTAAGGAAACCTTACAGCTCTGGTTTGAAGCCCCCTCTGTTCCATTCGTAACGTAAAGGAATGATAACAATAAATTGCCTTTCCCCACCATTACCCTATATATTCATTGTGCATGTATGTATGCGTGCTTGGGTGTGTGTACTGGTGTTTTAAATAACTTGAATTGATCGGAGAGTGATGTGCCACAACCTCTATCCATCTATGTTTCATTATTTTTTTTTCATTTACATTCTCAATGGAACACATAGGGCTTCAAGGCACAGCTTGCAAGTCCCGATAGTCGTGGAGTTTACTTTTACGGGATGAGGTTGCTATAGCCCAATGCCCAACCTTCCCTCTTCAGTGGCTTGGTGAGGCAAGCGGGTGCACCGACCAGGGGGCGAACCATGAAACACCTGTGTGGCCACCGATGCACATGTTATGTCTATTAATGGTGTGAAATTCACATGAGCAACTATTAAAATAGGACCTCGGCAGCACAGTGATAGAATGCTCGCCAAACTACACGCAAGTGGTTCGGGTGAGGTTCGATCTCTGGCCACCGACGCACTGCTTCACCTAGCTAAGCGCCAGTAATAAGACTGGTAAAGAGGGAAGATTGGGCATGAATCTGGCTAGCTACCCCCCCCATCCCGTAAAAATAAACACCACTGCTAACTAAAACTCCATAGCTATAGCTTGAAGCTCCATGTTTCACTGGGAACTTTTTTTCCCTTCACGTTTCCCAGTGGAACATAGGGCACCTTCAAGCTAGTGACTTGAAGTTTCTGTAGAAGTGTTTATTTTACAGGATGGGGTTGCTAGCCTCATGCCCAACCTTCCCTCTTCACCAGCATTATTTCTGGCTTAGCGAGGTAAAGAAGTGCGTCTATGGCCGGGGATCGAACCCCGGACCGTGTGCATGGTCAACGAGCGTCTTAACCGCTATGCCACCGACGCACTACTGGGAACTTAAAGGAATAAAATAATGCTAATAAAACTATTAAAACATCAAACTTGTAGATATACAAATAGAACAAAAGTAAAGAAAGACATTAAAGTAAAGACTTACTCGTCTTGACTGTCCTCTATTAAAAAAGGAATGTGCTATAAATTGTAGATTACATGTATAACCATTTTTATGATTTTGTATAATCAAGTCACCACAATTATCAATCCATAATGTACCAACAATTAAATTATGCACAAATGTAGTGACTTTTGTCCATGTATAATGAGAACCATCCGCGAATTGAAGATTAGTTTTACCTACAAAGTAAACACAGGTGAAAAACACAAGACAATATAAATATCGTGTGTATTTCACAATTAAAATCATTCCATTAAATTGCTGGAGAAGAGAAAGAATCCCAGAAAGGATATAAATTTCCTTCCAAGGTTTCCTCCCCGAAGTGCACGTTCACGCCAAGCCACCTAGCAGTGTGGTTAAATTGCAAACCATGCTGTGATAGAATTCAGCCTGTACCAGGCAAAGGACTAGATGTACGACATTAGTAACTAATTGAAATAACAGTATTAGTAACATGTAAGAACCATATTTTTACACTGATATGAGAGTAAACAACAAAAGAAATCGATGTGAGAAAGGAAACGAGTGACCTGTTTGCAAAATATCCACAATATAATCAATCATCTTACGTGTAAACAACTGTGAAATCCCTTCTTAATACTTACCGTCAATGATATCATCTTAGTGTGCATTTCGTGACCAAAATCAACACTAGATAGTTGTGCCCTTCAAGTTCAGTGACCTTCAGTTGTGCATTTACTTATGAACCCCACACAAGGGATCGAATTGAACACCTCCTACCCTAGAGGTCACAATGCTAGTCCATTGACTATTCATCATGAAATCTACATTGATACATGTGTAACACTTGGGCAATGTGGTATTACGTGATTTTATATTATTTTTGTTTACTAGATATATGACACAGAGAAACAGGATTATTTACTGGATAACACAGTTTCGAACAAAATTTATCGTGTTTCATAATCATTCCATCAATTATAATCACACGACTTCGAAACTTGAGTTTTATAGTCTTCTTTTTTCCCTCCTATTTGTCGCCGTTGAGGTAGTAGAATATTCCAGATATCCACCTGAATGGACAGGTGTTGAATCATTCCTATTACATGTATTTCCAGTTGATTCGATAAACAAAGCTTCTGTTATCAATGTCTCCCTCCAGCCCGTTGTCACATCAAGTTTTAAAACTGTCATCTTATCCCATCAATCTTATTGTATGGTTGTGTGTAATTGCATGTAGTGAGTGCCGTAACTGAACTATTCCACAGATTATTTTATCTTATTTGGGTCAACTAATCTAGATTTTGCTAGGTTTTTATGCTCGGCTAGTCCGACTCGCTGAACCTGTTCTACTACTTTGACCTATCTATTTGACCTGACAATCATTGTAGACGGGGTATTAGATAAACTAAATTGTTTTGTTTAATTGGCTCCACAGGATTGATCCTTTAACCGACAAAGCTTGTTTCTAATTGAGTTTGTGGGTTTGAATGCCACTTTTATTCCTGCAGAAATAGCATTACATGCAGTTACACACAACCATACAATATGATGGATGGGATAAGATGGCCGTTTTAAAATCCAAGGTCACAGGGTGGGGGGAGAGATTGATAACAGAAGCTTTGTTTATCGAATCAACTGCAAATACATGTAATAGGAATGATTCAACACCTGTTCCAGACGGACATCTGGAAAATTCTACTACCCCTACGACAAAGAGGAGAAGACAGAGAAAACTATCAAACTCAAGTTTCAAAGTCGTGTGATTATAATTGATGAAATGACTATGAACAATAATGAATTTTCTTCGAAACTGCGTCATCCAGTGAATAATACTATTCCAATGTGTGATACATGTAATAAACAAACTAATCTGAAATCTACATTGATCTACAATAATGGAATTCTCCATAGAACAAATCTATTTAATTGTTTTCCTATGTCATATCATCCAGTCTTCCATAATGGACAATGTTAGCTGACATAAGATCAACCAGGTTGGAAAAGAGCTAGTGGTGGGCAAAACTGGCCTCATCAGTCAATGAAATTCATCGAAACAACTAGTTTAGGCTGGCCAGCCAGCCACGTAGGGAGGTGTAGACTACCAGTTTGATTGGGGTGCTCGAGATGGTATTAAACCAATGAAGGCCGGAGATAACTGATGATATGGCTGCAAAATCATTCTCAATGGCTGGCGAAGATGCATACACTCTGTGATTTATAATATCCAATAGAACCCTATTATTTTTCCATATTACTATTCTTTTACCCTCACTCACACTTCTGTTTAATGTCTCTTTCTCTCCCTGTTCTCTTGCTTCATGTGCTACATAGTATTGTCTCGACTACAGGAGGAAAGGACGAGAATGTCAAATCGACATTCATCAACGTGAAACCAATCCGGAAATCTTCGTCACTCAGCATCCACAACAACAAAATTCAGTCGGATTTTCAATACAAACAACGAATGGATCAGAAACTTGGCGGGCGGGTCACAATGAATATTTTCAACAGGCTATTGGAGACTAGACCTTTATCAACAACAAGAAACAAGAAACTATGGGAACAAACAAACAAAACAAGAACCAATCGCCAACCAACAAATATGCAGGAGAAAGTAAAAAGATGGATTGTACACTCGCTAAGTAGGCCACTGAGTGACATCGCGAGCGCATCAGGCCATTTCTCGAGTGGAACCAGGCCGAAAGGGAAGCGGCGAGTGGGACCTCAGTGCAAGGGTGACATGGAGGAGATCGTGTGAACAGGAGGAGTTGAAACAATATGGACTAACGTGGATTCAGGTGAAAAGTAGAGCAGACGACAGAAGCAAGTGAAGACGTGCATGTGTTGTTGAAGCCCTATTTTCCACTAGGAAACCAAGGGAATAAGTGATTTGTTCTCTGTAGGTTGATAAATTTCATATACTTCGACCTGTCTCTCTGTTGTGCAGTAGTATTCCTGCTGTTACGAAATTTTGTCTACAAAAGTGCTTTAACACCTATTTTACATCGAAAACAACGCAGATTATCGCCAGTATACGCAAACCTCTGACGATAACCAACTAGCCATCCTGCATCACTAGGAAGGACAGATACTTATGTTATCTACAAAGAATTCCGAAATGCCTAAAAAGTAAGCACAGAAGTTGTTTTCTACAAAGTTAGTGAAAGCTTTAATCATACACTACTGATCGGTTGGGATAAAAAGCTATATACCACTCTCACCAACTAGCAGAGCTTCCCTATACAGGTCAAAGTGATCTATCTAGTCACTGGATGACCCTTTCGTGAATTTGAGGCCAAGCTTATCTTGCTGCGTATCCAGCTCGACTGACTAAGCTCAAAGACAGCCGCATCAGTTCCAAACCACTCGAATTCTGAGTAAGCTATTTAAGGTTTGCTTGTTTCCTTCACTATTACATATAAAGTACCAAGCAGATGACATAGTGTGATCGGAATAATTTTGGTTTCCAAAGGAATGTTTAAATTGCAGACTGCTAATCGAAAAGTAAATTGCAAATTCACTCATCTCAGAGGACATAATTACAAATAAAAAATTTCTCCCAACCACCCACCCCCTTGAATTCCATTAGTGCCTTGAAACTCCTTCAGAATTATCCTAAAAATATCTTTTCTAAAACAGCCACCAGAGCTTTCACATTTTCAATATACTATTGGCAGTGTAGCGATTAGCTTTTCTTACTTCTCAAGAGACAACCTACTTATAAACGATTTAAGTAATACAGAAAAATAATGGAAATAAATGAACAAAAAGACCAGAAACCATAGAATATAAAGAACGTAAAACAAAGTTAAAATGAATGTCATATCATGTATGTTTAATGAAACAAAGAATCCTTCCCTCAAAAGCTAACTATCGAGAAAAGAAGAATAATCTGCAGGCATACAAAAACAGCCAATATACAATCCACTTGTAAGTAATCCGTATTAAACCCGATTTCTACTCAAAGTTATTACACTAATCCACAATACTACTAATTGAACTGACATCTTTATAATTTTGCAGTTCATGTTTAACATTTTTTTCTTTCCTTATATAGCACTAGGATAACCAATCAATTATGAGATAAAACAATCTACAAACATGTAGACATTTGATGAAATTCATAGTATTAAAAATGTTCTGTTCAATAGATTCTCTTTTATGGTATTTACAGTTATAAAATGTAAAATACATATAAGGCACTCTATCAAAGAAGATAACGGTATTAGGAGGAACACATTCAGAAGTTGTTTATACTGTGGCCATATTTGAAGTATGCATTATTCCTTTGTAAAAAATTATATTTGTAAAATCTCAGCGATATTGCAATGAGTAATTCCAACGTTTCGTTCGGCAATCTGGTCCGAATTTCTTCAGGGAAATTAATCGAAATTAACATAACAGGTTTATATATAAAAGGAACATCTTTAGTTTTGAAAAACTTTGTCCAATCATGATTTATAAAACAAATATTAACAAGTATAATAAACAAAATTGTACGAGTTGTGATCACAATTGTTTTATAAAATCATGATTGGACAAAGTTTTTCAAAACTAAAGATGTTCCTTTTATATATAAACCTGTTATGTTAATTTCGATTAATTTCCCTGAAGAAATTCGGACCAGATTGCCGAACGAAACGTTGGAATTACTCATTGCAATATCGCTGAGATTTTACAAATATAATTTTTTACAAATGTCTACTTCTCACTCGGCGCCCAAATATTATAGAACTATTCTGTCAAATCTTGACTACAGTTCATTTGATGCATTATTCCCTTGCCAAAAACTGGTTTCACTTTCATTTTGCCTTTCTTTCCACTTCGTTTCTCTAAACAACTTTAGTGATAATGTTTTATACATTTTATTCGTGTGACTAGCATCCTTTTTCGCACTTTTTTCACACATATGTCATTAATAAGCTATTCTGATCATTTATCAAGTGATATCGTTACATTTCGCATTGTATGGTTCCAATTCATTCGTCTCTCATATCGATGCGTTGGTGGCACAGTGGTTAGGACTCTCGCCGACCATGCACATGGTCCGAGGTTCGATCCCCTGCCGACGCACACTTGATATCTATGGTCGGCCTGCAAAATTTGGGCTACCGATATCCATGCTGAAAATACAGTGTGGAATCAAGCTGTAAATCAAAATCAAAAATTAAAAAATCAAAAAAAATTATTTGGTGGCAGGTTTGAGATCACGAGC